AGGTCAGGACTGCCATGATAGGGGCCGTGAAGGGGTCCAAACCTCTCTCCAGACACCAGCCTCTCTCTAGACACCAGCCATGCCACGACAGGTGCCCAAGAGTCCTGGAGTAACTCTCTAACCATTGTTGACAGGCCCGACACATCCCAGGAATCCCGAAAATGGTCCAAGCCACTAGCGGTAGGCAACTCTAGCAAGAGAGGGAAACATGGTTGACTCCTCCAACGCAGTGTGACCAGGAGAAGCGACACCCCCAGGAGTTTGGTCTGATTCAATGTCCGAAGTATCATGGAGAAAGGGGGGGACGTATACGCCCCGAGGGAGCTCAGTCTTGGAGAAACCCGTCCACCGCCTCGCTGAGGGGGTCCGGAACCCAACTGAGGCCATCTTGGTTAACTTGGCAGGCAGCTTCCTCTATATCGCTGGGAGCACCATGGCTCTTCAAAGGTCCCTTATGAGCGGAGTCCATATCCACAGAGCAGAGGGAATCGCCCAAGTTGGACCCCCGAGCTCCTCAGGTGCCAGGTGCAGGGACCAGAGTGGCCGGTGGAGCGTCGCCATGGAAGGTAGTGAGGGCTTCAGGCCAGGCCTGGAGACCTCCTGGACACGAAAATCTGCTCCGTCAGCCATGACTGTATCACTACCATATAGGTAAAGCACTGTCAGTGTGGTACCTGGTGAGGCCAGCTAGGGGTCACCCAGCATGCAAGAGGGTGTCACTTAACAAGCACAAGCATACCATGCAGTATAGGCCAGCAGGGGAGGGGGTCACCCTCAGTATCATTATAACTCTTTAGGTACAGCAGTGTAGTTAGTGGGAGTGGGTCACCCTCATTATGATTATAACAGGACCCTGTAGGTCCAGCAGTGCAGTCAGCGGGAGGGGTCACCCTCAGTATGAGTATAACAGGACACTGTATGTCTAGCAGTGCAATAAGCGATAGGGGGTCACCCTCAGTATGAATATAATAGGACTCTGAAGGTCCAGCAGTGCTGTCAGAGGGAGGGGGTCACCCAACCCAAAAAAGTGTGACTGACACCACAGCAGGGCCCAGTAGAGGGCAGTAATGTCAGACAGGGTAGTGCCCTGTAATATAGTAGCTGTATGAGGATCACCCCACACATAACAGGCCAGAGGACTACCTCCACCTGAGGCCCAGGTGGCCTAAAACCTGCAAGGAAAATAAATTGGTGTATGAGGGGGCCTGGCAGCACAGCCAGCACGTAGGTGGAGTGGGCAGGCGAGGAACTGGAGGTCCAGGCCGCCCGGAAGGCGTGGGAGTGCACGCGACACCAAAAAGATGGCCGCCGTGGCTCCAACAAAATGGCCGTCGCGGCGGCAAGACGCAGAGGTCACAACTAACGCCACAAGCGGTCTGTGTGCTGTAAACGTGGCGTGGGAAAACGGCTGGTAGCCGCGACAGGAGCAGGGAGGGTCGAAAAAAAAGGGGGGGTGCGGTGAAGCCCAGGAGGGTGCTGCAATAGTGGGGAGCGCAAGGACTGGCAGGGGGAATCCCCAGGGAAACCCAAATGCCAGGCAGCACCCCAGGAGCCCAGATCCCCACATAAACCAAAGGAGCACACACAAAACAAGCCCACTTGCTATATCTAAAGAGGATGCCGCACTGTGGGTGCCTGGAGAACATATGAAATTGTCAAAATGTTTAAAACAGGTCAAAACTTACCTAGGGGAAAGCACCAGTGTTCTCTTGGCATTGGACCCTCTAAAACACATAGTAGTGTTTATGGGGCTTAAACTGTCCATTTAAATACATTGGTGTATATGCTCATACACAAGTAGTTTACCAAAATATCCAATATATGCCAAACTCTTACTAAATAGTTGCTAAAATAATTTGAACAGTGTCATCTAGTGGACTTCTTTAGGTACTGCACAGAAGATTCTGCTGGAGTGTTTGTGCATAGTATATTTTTTTAGCAGCACAGGATTGCACAAATCACTTTAACGTTTACTCCCTAATTTGAAGCAAACCTTCAGCCTCTATGTAGATGTTACTATTGACTATCCTTAGGACCAGTTATATATATATATATATATATATATATATATATATATATATGTATCCATATCCACCCTTCATGATGATCTGGTTAAAGGGGCTTGACTTCTATGCAGAAGAAGTGGATACGGGAGACTGATTCAAGAGTGGAGCTACCATCAGCCACCTACTCTACATGGATGACATCAAACTGTATGACAAGAGTGAGCAGAACTTTGACTCACTGATCAACCTAACTAGAATATACAGCAAGGACATTAGAATGTTGTTCGGACTAGATGTGTGTGGGCAGTTAATAGGAAAAAGAGGGAAGATGATAAGGACAATAGGAGTTCAAATACCAGAAGGTCAAATGGAAGATGTAGAGAACAGCTGCAAGTACCTGGAGGTACCGCAAACACATGGCAAGCATGAGGAAGAGGCAAGAAGGATAGCAAAATCCAAGTATCTCCAGAGAGTCAGACAGGTCCTGAAGTCCCAGCTCATTGGCAATAACAAGATCCAAGCCATCACCACATATGCCCTCCCAGTTATCAGGTACCCAGCTGGAATAAAAGACCAATCAATGATCAAGATGAGAGCTGGTCACCATGGATGTTAAGACCTGTAAAGTACTCACTATGAATGCAGGATTCCACCTGAAAATCCAGCACCCAGAGACTGCACACGAGTTGGAAGAAGGTGCATGAGTGTCAGGCCACAGTCCTGGATGAAACACAAAGCATCCATAAGTGAATCACAAAGATGGCTCACAAAGCTAAACTACTAAAGGAATGTCTGGGACAACAACAGATATAGGATGCAGAAAAGGATACAAGGATGCAAGACAAACCTCTCCATGGGGTGCACCACCGACAGATAGTTTTTGTGACATCCTTCCAGTGGTTGGAAAATGCTGGACTGAAAGACAGTACTGCAATTGCACTAATCCTTGCAACACAGGAACAGGCACTCAGCACCAAATCAATATAAGTGGGGGTCTACCACACCAGACAAGACCCAGGCAGACCGTGCAAGGAGGCAATCCAGCATATATTAGTAGACAAGATGTTAGCAGGGACAGCATACACTGAGAGGCACATCCAAGTTGCTGGGATTGTGTACCAATATATCTGCACAGAATATGGGCTAGAGCTACCTAAGCCCAGATAGGAGATGGGAGATACCACAAAGGGTATGATCCTGTGGGACTTTCAGATCCAGACAGACAAGCAAGTAGTGGCCAACCAATCTAACATTGTGTTGGTAGACAAAGAATGGAAGACTGCAGTGGTGGTGAATGTGACAACATCCAGTGACCATAACATTAGGAAGAAAGCACATGAGTGTCAAGGTTAATACTCCCCAACACCAAACCAGAGAACAATAAAGGCGAACACAGATAGACGTATTACAGGACCTTAAAGTGGCCGGACTTAACGTAGGAATGAGAGATAAGAATAGTCAAACACGCCAAGGTCAGGAATACAGAGATACGGGAAAACGAAATAGACAGAGCCAAGGTCAGGGAGCCAGAAATAAGAATAATCAATAAACAAGCCGAAGTCAGGAACCAGAGAAAAGACAACTACTCAGAACGCACTCTCGGGCTATAATAAACCACGACAGATACGCGCACGCCCCCGGAGGCGCACGCGTGCGATGCCCACCAGCGATCCACACCGCCCAAGATGAGAGGACGGACGACGGGACCGGTAATGGTAATGATGCCAGGAGTTCTCTGGTGACACCCCAGGGTAAGCTATCAAACAGTTCACCCTATCAGATTCCCACAGTTGTTCTGTATGGCTGTGCTAAACCAGAAATTCATAAGTCCACTACATCCACATAAGCAGTGAACATCAACTTTGGACATTATGTCCTGTCAGTAAGCATTGGTATGCTCATGGAGAAGCAGGGCCGGACTGGGGATACACAGCAGCCCTGGAAAAAAATCTATGCCAGCCCCATGTCATTGAGCCTTGTGTGTGAGTGTATATATATATATTAAAAAAAATATATATATATATATATATTATAGGTGTATAAATTAGTAACTGGAGCAGGATAGTGGAGTGCAGGGGAATATTGGTGTGTGAATGCAGATTAGAAGGGGATGAGTTGCCAGCCAGATGTGAAACGTTATGAGCCACCTCAAATGCTGGTGCACAGTATTTTTTTTATTTTTTTAAATTACATTTTATTTATTCAAGTATGTACACAACTTCAATTTGTGTGTATGCAGGGGCATATTTGTATTGATAGTTTTATGTGAGTGTGTAAATGCAGGGCCATATTTGTATGTAGTTT